AAGAGATTCGGCTTCATACTACTTGAGTGCTAGATCATCTCTCATCTCAAGTCTGGAGACTGCCATAATGTTAGACTTTGCACATGATCGCAGTTCCTGCCTTGGTGAGCGAGTCTTCGGGCAAAGGAACCCCTAGAGCAGGGGTCTTCAAACTATAGCCCTCCAGTTGTTGAGGAACTGCAAGTCCCATGAGACTTTGCAAGACTCTAACAGCCACAGGTAAGACCCCCAGAGGCAGAGGCATGATGGGACTTGTAGCACTTCAACAGCTGGAGGGCCATAATTTGGAGACCCCTGCCCTAGAGCATGGGCGCATTAGGCCCTGTCCACAATATGGCATAGTCGGAGTACCAGTGACCACATGGCTTCCCTCTCAACTACCACCTACTTCAAACATACAGACTGGTTCTGGATCAGCGCACTGGGAGTATGTTGAAGCCACGGGATTAGTATGACCACCAGGAAGGTACCATTCTCAAAAGTCACCAATGACAGCTTCCATATTAGTACAGGTTTGCTGTATAGGTACCTGGTCCTGTTTGGCATCGAATCATCCAGATTCTAACAGATAATGATGAGCCTGTCATAGTATGTTCTTTGTATGTTCTATTTATAGAGTGACCCTGGCATTCTTGCGTATCTCCGGCTTTCATCGCCAGCTAAACATTCAGCCCCGTGCAAATCACTGAGTTCGACCTTGGCATTGTACACACAAATTACACGCAGATGGAAGTGTGCTAACATTGGAAACCATTGCGTCATATTAATCCTTCGATATACAAAAAGCTAATATCACCGTCCGTCTATAGGAATGCTGGATGGAAACATTTCATTCATTGCTGAGCAATCCGCGTGCAGTAAGGACAGTTAAGCGCGGTGAGGTTCTAATGAAACAGAATAGCTGGCAGAAAAGGACGTCATTAGGCTCTCGCCATTCTCTGCTTGTCTGTTGGTATCATTGGCTGACTAAATGGACAATTCTGCAATGCATGATGGGTTCATTAATGTCAAGGGCACTTCTTATGTCCAAGCAGCGCGCCTGGGTGCACAGGAATCTGATACATAAGATCTCTGTCATGTGTGCACCTTATCCACGGCCTATAGATAATGGGGGGGGGGAGATATCCTAATGCCAGCCATAGACGGGTCGATTTTCGCACCATTAGAGGGTTAATTGGTCGGCCGTTTTTTTCGGGCTTTTTGCACATTTTTTTTATCGGGCAAGTTGGAAAATTTGCGGCCGATTTTGACGATCGGAAGATTTTCTCAGCAATGATGGGCAAATTGGCCGATCGTTTTACCGATAAAAAAAATCTGCGCATGAGCCATGACCTGCAAGAAGAAGAAAAAGAAGAAGAAGAAGATAAAGAAGAAGCAGAAAAAGAAGAAGCAGAAAAAGAAAAAGAAAATGAAGAAGAAGCAGAAAAAGAAGAAGAAAAAGAAGAAGCAGAAAAAGTAGAAGAATAAAAAAGAAGAAAAAGAAGAAGCAGAAAAAGAGGAAAAAGAAGAAGAAAAAGAAGAAGAAGAAATAGAAGTAGAGGAAAAAGAAGAAGAAAAAGAAGTAGAGGAAAAAGAAGAAAAAAAGAAGAAGAAGAGTAAGAAGAAGAATTCCAGTCCGCTATTATATTTTATGTGAAATGTCTTGCGGTTGCAACAATGTATCCATTTGTATTCAAATAAAAAATCTGTATCCGAAATGGATACAAATGGATACATTGTTGCAACCGCAAGACTTTTCATATAAAATATAATAGCGGACTGGAATTCTTCTCCTTCTTCTACTTCTTCTTCTTGTTCTCCTCTCCCCTGTGTGCTCCCGTCTCTGCAAGGGACAGAGGTAATTATGGGGTTAAATGCCGGCTATAGACGGGACGAAAATCGGACGATTTTTTTTTTTACCGCTGGTGGCAACGTCAGCTGATCGAACGTCCGATTTGTTTTTTTTTTTTTTAAACAGCCGATTTTCGACCCGTCTATGGCCTGCATAACACTCAGTGCCATATAAATGTTGGATGTGTTGAAGGGCAATTACACCCTGTGCCACATTCGTTTCAAACAGCGCAAAAGTGTCCATAAAGCCAAATTGTGATCTATAGGTGTAAAGAACTACTCCACACGCAACTGTTAGTCAAGCTTTGAGTGGATGGATTTGGTTAGGGTGATGGATTAGGATGGATTAGGGTGATGGATTAGAGCAGAATGGGTTTAGGGTGATGGATTGGGGTGGGTTAGGGTGATGGATTAGGTGGGTTAGGGTGATGGATTAGGGTGGGTTGGGGTGATGGATTAGGGTGGGTTAGGGTGATGGAGCAGAATGGGTTAGGGTGATGGATTAGGGTGGATTAGGGTGATGGATTAGGGTGGGTTTTGGGTGATGGATAGGGTGATTAGGTGATGGATTAGGGTGGGTTGGGGGTGATGGATTAGGTGCGTTGGGGTGATGGGTGGATTAGGGTGGGTTAGGGTGATGGATTAGGGTGGGTTAGGGTGATTAGGATTTAGGGTGGGTTGGGGGTGATGGATTAGGTGGGTTAGGGTGATGGATTAGGGTGGGTTGGATTAGGGTGATGGATTAGGGTGGGTTGGGGTGAGGATTAGTTGGGTGGAGGTGATGGATGGATTATGGTTAGGGTGATGATGGGATTAGGGGGTTGATGGATTAGGGTGATGGATTAGGTGGGTTAGGGTGATTGGATTAGGGTGGGTTGGGGTGATGGATTAGGTGCGTTGGGGTGATGGATTAGGGTGGATTAGGGTGGGTTAGGGTTATGGATTAGGTGCGTTGGGGTGATGGATTACGGTGGGTTAGGGTGATGGATTAGGGTGGGTTGGGGTAATGGATTAGGGGTGTGGGTTGGGGTTGATGGATTAGGGTGGGTTGGGGTGATGGATTAGGGTGGGTTAGGGTGATGGATTAGGGTGGGTTAGGGTGATGGATTAGGTGGGTTAGGGTGATGGATTAGGGTGGGTTGGGGTGATGGATTAGGTGTGTTGGGGTGATGGATTAGGTGGGTTAGGGTGATGGATTAGGGTGGGTTGGGGTGATGGATTAGGGTGGGTTGGGGTGATGGATTAGGGTGGGTTATGGGTGATGGATTAGGGTGGGTTGGGGTGATGGATTAAGGTGGGTTGGGGTGATGGATTAGGGTGGGTTAGGGTGATGGATTAGGGTGGGTTTAGAGTGATGGGATGGATTAGGGTGGGTTAGGGTGATGGATTAGGGGGGTTGGGGTGATGGATTAGGGTGGGTTTGGAGTGATGGATGGATTAGGTGGGTTAGGGTGATGGATTAGGGTGGGTTGGGGTGATGGATTAGGGTGAGGTTAGGGTGATGGATTAGGGTGGGTTGGGGTGATGGATTAGGTGGGTTGGGGTGATGGATTAGGGTGGGTTGGGGTGATGGATTAGGGTGGGTTGGGGTGATGGATTAGGTGGGTTGGGGTGATGGATTAGGGTGGGTATTGAGATGGAATAGGATTATTATTATTATTATACAGTATTTATAAAGCGCCAATAGTTGGCTCAGCGCTGTACATTACAGAGGGGGACAGAACATGTGACAGAACAATACCAATACAATGCAAAACATGAGGGGATCGAGGGCCCTGCTCTTTCGAGTTTACAATCTAGGATCAAGGGTCAAGGATCAAGGATGGGTTAGGTTGATGGTTTTGGGGGGGGAGGGGGGTTAGAATGATAGATTAGGGTAATGGATTAGGCTGGGTTGGGGTGATATTGTAGGGTGTTAATGTGATGGATTTGGATTGATTTAGGGTGACAGATTAGGGTAGGTTAGGATGATGGATTTGGATGGGTCAGGGCATGGCCTTAGCCTGACTGCCGCCCACCAGTTCCCCTCACCTGCAACCCCTGTACACCCCTCCCCCCAGAGAAGGAGAGAGACTCACCATCCAGTCCCGGTGCCCAGGAGAACCATTTCCCCTTCGTCCGGGGGGGGGGGGGGGGGGGGGGGCGCCGCCCCCCTGAATAATGGCGCCCAAGGAAAATGCCTTGTTTGCCTCTCGGTAAATACGCCCCTGGTAACTGCAGTCTATTTGCCTTTAGGAAATCAACCTCACAGAGACTGACATTTAAAGGCAGACAAAAAGAAAAGTCAAATTCCTGTAAAAGTGGCAGTTTTGATGTCCTGCGTGCAGAAGGCTTCACATTTGCACAAATCTCGGCAGTACAGCTGACCTCCAGGGGGGGGGAGGGTTTTTTTTCTCCCCCCGGAGCATCACTTTCACCGTGTCATCGTCTCCGGCTTCGGGAATCTCTGTTGCATCTTTGATGCTTTTCTAATTATTGGATTTAGTGCTCAATTTTTGGCTAATTGACTGACATTTGTCTGGAAACTTCTGTGACCTCAAGGAAAGATTTCTGCTGATTGTCTTCAGGGATACAGAACACAATCGCCTGTCAGAAAGCAACAATGTAAATGGCGTATAATTACAACGTTACCAAAGATAATCCATCCAAGGCCAGCGGGCTGTAAAGTGGGCGACGGACCGGGATCTCCGCTAGTATGACAGATCGATCCCCGTGTATGGGGGCAACGCCTTCCTACCGCAGACAAATACGACATGGCAGCCAATGCTGATGGACTACACTTCATGTTTATACTGTCTCAGCTCCTGCCAAGTGGTCTGACGGTATTACGGTCTTGGCTCCTCCCCTTCAGTCTTACACAGGTGTACCGGCTCCTCCCCTTCAGTCTTGCACAGGTGTTCCGGCTCCTCCCCTTCAGTCTTACACAGGTGTACCGGCTCCTCCCCTTCAGTCTTACACAGGTGTACCGGCTCCTCCCCTTCAGTCTTGCACAGGTATTCCGGGTTCCTCCCCTTCAGTCTTAAACAAGTGTTCCGGCTCCTCCCCTTCAGTCTTGCACATGTGTACCGGCTCCTCCCCTTCAGTCTTGCACATGTGTACCGGCTCCTCCCCTTCAGTCTTGCACAGGTGTACCGGCTCCTCCCCTTCAGGCTTGCACAGTTTTACTGGCTCCTCCCCTTCAGTCTTGCACATGTGTACCGGCTCCTCCCCTTCAGGCTTGCACAGTTTTACCGGCTCCTCCCCTTCAGGCTTGCACAGTTTTACCAGCTCCTCCCCTTCAGTCTTGCACAGGTGTGCCGGCTCCTCCCCTTCAGGCTTGCACAGTTGTACCGGCTCCTCCCCTTCAGCCTTGCACAGGTGTGCTGGCTCCTCCCCTTCAGGCTTGCACAGGTATAACGGATCCTCCGCATCAGCCTTGCACAGGTGTACCGGCTCCTCCCCTTCAGCCTTGCACAGGTGTATTGGCTCCTCCCCTTCAGTCTTGTACACATGTACCAGCTCCCCCCCCTTCATTCTTGCACAGGTGTATCGGCTCCTCCCCTTCAGTCTTGCACAGATGTACCGGCTCCTCCTCTTGAGTCTTGCACAGGTGTACTGACTCCTCCCCTTCAGTCTTGCACAGGTGTATCGGCTCCTCCCCTTCAGTCTTGCACAGGTGTATCAGCTCCTCCCCTTCAGTCTTGCACAGGTGTACAAGCTCCTCCCCTTCAGTCTTGCACCAATCCCCCTTCCCAGCCTTCCTTGATTACCCCCACCTAGGACAGTCCCCCCCCCCCCAAATAAATCATCCACACTAGCAATATCCTCTCACCCACCAATCCCCCAATCCAACACAAATCTTTGCCCCCCCCTTCCCCTGTCCCCAGCCCATCCCCCCCCCCTTCCCTGATTACCCCCACCTAGCACAGTCCCCCCCAAATAAATCACCCACACTAGCATTGTCCTACCACCCACCAATCCCCCTTCTCAGCACAAATCCCCCCACCCCCCAGATTCACCCTCCCAACCTAAATCCTCATCTCCTCCAAAAAAATCACACCTTCTAGTACAAATAATCCCGTACCCCAGCGAATCCACTTTTTCTCAACACAATTCCTCCGCCCAAATACCCCTCCCAACATAAACCCACCCCCAAAAAAATTACCCCTTCTAGCACAAATCCCCCCCCTCCATCACTGTCACCAATCCCCCCTTCCCAGCACAAATCCTCCCCCCCAAATCCCCCCTCCTAGCATAAATCCTCTAACCCAAGCCCATCTTCTATCACAAATTCCCCCCATCTTCCTCCAAGCACAAATCCTCTCCCCCCCTAAATCTCCCCTCCTAGTGCAAATCCCTGCACCCCCATCTCCCTCCGAGCACAAATCCTCCCTCCAAAGCCCCCTCCTAGCATAAATCCTCCAACCCAAGCCCACCTTGTATCACAAATCTCCTCCTACCCCTTCTTCTTCCTCCTAGCACAAATCCTCTTCCCCCTAAATCTCCCCTCCTAGTGCAAATCCCTGCACCCCCATCTCCCTCCTATCACAAATCCTCCCCCTAAATCCCCCTCCTAGCATAAATCCTTCAACCCAAGCCCACCTTCTATTATGAATTCCCCCCCCCCCGTCTTCCTCCTAGCACAAATCCTCTCCCCCTCCTAGTGCAAATCCCTGCACCCCTATCTCCTTCCCAGCACAAATCCTCCCCCCCTAATCTCCCCTCCTAGCACAAATCCTCTCCCCTCCTAGTGCAAATCCCTGCACCCCCATCTCCCTCCCAGCACAAATCCTCCCCCCCCCTAATCTCCCCTCCCAGAATAAATACCCCTCCCCCCATTCATTTTTTGAATGATATGATGTGCATACAGGCCAATGACTTCAAATGGAAAGTTACATCGACCAGTCTGCAGCCCACATTCCACACGTAGCTGTACATTATCAGCGTAATCCAGCGTCATTTTCTACATCCCGCTGTTCCTGTAACACATCTCAGGCTTGGCGGGATGTCGCTGAAATCAGGACTTGTTCTTACCAACTTCTAGAGAAATGCACGGCGAAGCGTACAGATATTGATGCGCAGACTCCTCCGTACTGATATCGATGCACAGACCCCTCCGTACTGATATCGATGCACAGACCCCTCCGTACGGATATTGATGCACAGACCCCTCCGTACTGATATTGATGCACAGACAGACCCAGACTCCTCCGTACTGATATTGATGCGCAGACCCCTCCTCCGTATGTACTGATATCGATGCGCAGACTCCTCCGTACTGATATTGATGCGCAGACGCAGACTCCTCCGTACTGATATTGATGCACAGACTCCTCCGTACTGATATCGATGCGCAGACGATGATATTGATGCGCAGACTCCTCCGTACTGATATTGATGCGCAGACTCCTCCGTACTGATATTGATGCACAGACGCCTCCTCCGTACTGATATCGATGCGCAGACTCCTCCGTACGGATATTATTGATGCGCATGCAGACTCCTCCGTACTGATATTGATGCAGACTCCTCCGTACTGATATTGATGCGCAGACTCCTCCGTACTGATATTGATGCGCAGACTCCTCCGTACTGATATTGATGCGCAGACTCCTCCGTACTGATATTGATGCGCAGACTCCTCCGTACTGATATTGATGCGCAGACTCCTCCGTACTGATATTGATGCGCAGACTCCCCTTTTAGAGAATACAGAGCCAAGTACCATTTTGTGGCGCTAAATATTTGCACCGTATGGAATTAGTTGATGATAACAAGAGAAGCAGAAAAAATAGATCCCCTGCAGCCAGCAGCATTAGACCCCCCCCCCAGCATCCCCGTACTGCATAATAGATTCCTCCAGCAACAAAATACGCAGACCTAGCATAATTGCCCCCAGCAGCTATAAAAGATCTCCCAGCAGCCAGCATCAATAGACTCTCCAGCAGCCAGCAACAATAGACCTCTCTCTCAACAGTAGATCCCTTCCAGCAACAACGGACCCCCATCAACAATAGATCCCTCACCAGCAACAATAGATCACCACACAAATACAGATCCCCTTTCAGGGACATATAGATCCCTCAGCAGCCAGCAACAAACAGATCCTCCAGCACACCCCAGCACCCCTTGCCATTGCATACATTCAGTGCTGGAGGTACCGAACTTCGTTCCCCCCCGATACGTTTGTGCTGAAAAAAAAGCCGCGGTCCCCAAGGTATTGCGAATGACACCTCAAAGCAGCACAGAGCATTCGTCTTGTAGTATTCCACAATGCACAATAGGGAGTTAGTAAAAAAGTGCCATGTTGCAGCTTTACACCCCCGTCACATCGGGTGCGACCTTGCAAACCACATGCTGAGTCGCACCCTATTGTCCACAATTAGTGGTCATATCGGTCATGTGGTCATTTTCTGACTTGGTTGGAGCCAGACGTGATTTCTGAAGTACTCCATGCACTACTTTTGGTGCGATTTGCATAGACTTCGGTGAAGATGTCTTGCAAATTCGCACCTGAAATCGACGGGTCCCCCGACTTTGAAAACAGAGCGTGTAACACTCATGTGTATGGAGTCGCACAATTTCAAAGTAGGGCTTGATGTGATCGGGGGGGGGGGGGGTTTTTTAGCATGTTCGGGTGCGCAGGCGGCTCGTTCATTTTTAAAGGTCTCATACGCATACGCTGCAATAAAAACGTGTTTTTTTGCGTCTACGTTTTGGATCTAGCGTTTTTTGCATTTGCTCTTTTCAGCATATGCTATGCATTTTTAGTTTTTTTGTTTTCTTTTTTTGTTTTTCAGCATATGCACTTTAAGTTTTTTTTTGTTTTTCAGCATATGCGTTTTTAGTTTTTTTATTTTTTCAGATGTGCTTCAGCATATGCGTTTTTAGTTTTTTAGTTTTTTCAGCATATGCGTTTTTTGGCGGGGGGGGGGGGGTTCAGCATATGCACTTTTAGTTTTTTTTTTCGTTGTCCAGCATATGCGTTTTTTGTTTTTTTTCATCATGTGCGTTTTTTTTTTTAAGCATAGGGGGGGGGGGGGTTTCAGCATATGCACTTTTAGTTTTTTTTTCGTTTTCCAGCATATGCGTTTTTTGTTTTTTTTCATATGTGCGTTTTTTAGGGGGGGGGGGTTTCAGCATATGCTATGCAAATTTTTTTTTTTTTTTTTTTTTTTTTTTTGTTCAGCATATGTTTTGTTTTTTTTCAGCATATTTTTTTTTTATTTTTTCAGCATATGCGTTTTTCGTTTTTCTTTTTTTTTCAGCATATGCACTTTTAGTTTTTTTTTTTTGTTTTTTCAGCATATGCGTTTTTAGTTTTTTTATTTTTTTTTCAGCATATGCGTTTTTAGTTTTTTTTGTTTTTTCAGCATATGCGTTTTTCGAGGGGGGGGGGGGGTTTTCAGCATATGCACTTTTAGTTTTTTTTCGTTTCCCAGCATATGCGTTTTTGTTTTTTGTTTTTTTTCAGCATGTGCGTTTTTTTTAGGGGGGGGGGGGGGGGTTCAGCATATGCTATGCATTTTTAGTTTTTTTTGTTTGTTTTTTTTTTGTTCAGCATATGTGTTTTTAGTTTTTTTTTTTGTTCAGCATATGCGTTTTTCGTTTTTCTTTTTTTTTTTTGCATATGCACTTTTAGTTTTTTTTTTTGTTTTTTCAGCATATGCGTTTTTTTGGTTTTTTTCAGCATATGCGTTTTTTTGGGGGGGGGGGGGGGGGGTTTCAGCATATGCTATGCATTTTTTAGTTTTTTTTTTTGGTTTTTTAGCATATTCGTTTTTCGTTTTTTTTTTTTTTCAGCATATGCGTTTTTTGGGTTTTTTTGCTTTTTCAGCATATGCACTTTTAGTTTTTTTTGGTTTTTCAGCATATGCGTTTTTTCCTTTTTTTTTTTTCAGCATATGCGTTTTTATTTTTTTTTTTTTAAGCATATGCGTTTTTTGTTTTTTTTTATGCTGTTTTTTTTTTCAGCATATGCACTTTTAGTTTTTTGTTTTTTTTCAGCATATGCTTTTTTTTTTTTTCAGCATATGCTTTTTATGCATTTTTTTTCAGCATTTTATTTTTTAGTTTTTTTTTTTTTTGTGTATTTCAGCATATGCATTTTTAGTTTTTCTTTTTTTTTCAGCATATGCGCTTTTAGTTTTTTTTGGTTTTTTTTCAGCATATGCGGGGGTTTTTTTGCTTTTTTTTCAGCATATGCGTTTTTTAGGGGTTTTTGGGGGGGGGGTTTTCAGCATATGCGTTTTTTAGTTTTTTGTTTGTTTTTCAGCATATGCACTTTTAGTTTTTTTTTGTTTTTCAGCATATGCATTTTTTTTAGGGGGGGGGGGGGTTTCAGCATATGCTATGCATTTTTTTGTTTTCTTTTTTTTTTGTAATTCAGCATATGCGTTTTTCGTTTTTTCTTTTTTTTTTCAGCATCCGCACTTTTAGTTTTTTGTTTTTTTTTCAGCATATGCTATTTTGTTTTTTTTCAGCATATACGTTTTTATTTTTATTTTTTTCAGCATATGCGTTTTTAGGGGGTTTTTTTCCAGCATGTGCTATGCGTTTTTAGTTTTTGTTTTTTTTTCAGCATATGCATTTTTTAGTTTTTTGTTTTTTTTCAGCATATGCTTTTTTTAGTTTTTGTTTTTTTTCAGCATATGCTTTTTTTTTGTTTTTTTTTTTTTCAGCATATGCGTTTTTAGGGGGGTTTTTTTCAGCATTTTTTTTTAGTTTTTTTTTCCTTTTTGTTTTTCAGCATATGCGTTTTTTAGCAAAGTTATACTCCCACAAAACCTTCAGGCTCAAAAATGCTCATAAATCGGCGGATAGCTGCAGTTTTTTTAGCGTTTGTAAGCTTTTTTTAGAGCATTTTTACAGCTAAAAAACTCCCCTAGAAACCCATCAGTTCTGGGTTTTCTTTCCAGGCAAAAAATGCTAATTAAAGTCTGTGTGTGTATGGACACGGAGGAGAACATGCTGGGGGGGTTTCTGGCTGTAGTAAAAAACGCCAAAAGCCAAAAACAGCCCCCCCCGTGACTTAACCTATTGCTGTAAAAAAACGTCCCGTGTGCAGGAGGACTGAGTCCAGGTTCACACCTATGCAGGTTGCGGTTCAGGCATTTCTGCATTTTGTGTTTTTTTGCCGCATTTTTGATGCATTTTTTTTTCTTTTTTTTTTCTTGTTGCTAGGCAGATTTAAAACGCAAAACGCAACAAAAAAGCAGCAAAAACGCAATACATGCTTTTCTGCAGCATTCCCATTGAAGTCTATAGAAACAAAAAAATGCAATGTTTTACGTTCAAGAAAGTCTCTGACCCTTTCCAGAAAAGGCACCGCGGTGAAAACGCAGAAATGTGAACGTGTCCCATAGGAAATCATGTTAAATGGACTGTACTGTGTTTCTGCAAAATGCTGTGGAAAATGCTCAGGTGTGAACTGAGAGTGATGCCGCACACATGCAAAGGTGCAACTGGGTTGCTAATTTTTTTTTTTTAGTGACTTGTAGTTTCTTCTTTCCACCATGAGGTGGCGCACCAGACCCATGTGTTTCATGAGCACTAATGCTGCTCCTGAGTGTCACATCCTGAGCATCAATGGAGGATCAGACAGCTGAGATTCTGCCAAAGGCGGCATTATTTTCTCACCACACACATGTAAGGGTCCAAGGTTTGGGCTATAGCATGTCTCTGAAGTCTCCATCATACGCTGGCGGCTGAGGGGAGGCAGATCATACACTTGTCTCATTCATCAATGGAGGTGTTCTCGGATTTTGGGAGTGCTGCCATTGAGTCCTCATTCACACTGGGCATTTTTACAGCAGCTGTTTTTGGCGTTTTACGTTTTTTTTCTACAGCCAGTAACCCCCCCGGCATGTTATCCTCGGTGTCCATACAGACATAGACCGGAATCAGCGTTTTCTGGCTGGAAAAAAATCCCAGAACTAGCGGGATTCTAGAGGAGTTTTGTAGCTGTAAAAACACTCTAATGCTGAAAAATGCAGGAAAACACCAAAAACTGGCATTTTTGGACTTTTTTTGAGCAAAAAAAAAAAAAAAAAAAAAAAACGAAATGCATCAAACCAGGGCGTTTTTGGATTTTTTTTAGCAAAATTTGTTTAACCACTTCCAGTCCGGACACTTTCCCCCCCTTCCAGTCCGGACACTTTCCCCCCCTTCCAGTCCGGACACTTTCACCCCCCTTCCAGTCCGGACACTTTCCCCCTTCCAGTCTGGACACTTTCCCCCCTTCCAGTCCAGATACTTTCCCCCCCTTCCAGTCCGGACACTTTCCCCCCCTTCCAGTCCGGACACTTTCCCCCCCTTCCAGTCCGGACACTTTCCCCCCCTTTCCAGTCCAGTCTTTCCCCCTCTTCCAGGACACTTTCCCCCCCCGCTTCCAGTCCGGACACTTTTCCCCCCTTCCAGTCCAGATACTTTCCCCCTCTTCCAGTCTGGACACTTTCCCCCCCTTCCAGTCCGGACACTTCCCCCCCTTCCAGTCCAGGACACTTTCCCCCCCTTCCAGTCCGGACACTTTCCCCCCTTCCAGTCCGGACACTTTCCCCCCCTTCCAGTCCAGATACTTTCCCCCTCTTCCAGTCTGGACACTTTCCCCCCCCCCTTCCAGTCCGGACACGTTCCCCCCCTTCCAGTCCGGACACTTTCCCCCCCCTTCCTGTCCGGACACTTTCCCCCCTTCCAGTCCGGACGCTTTCACCCCCTTCCAGTCCGGACACTTTCCCCCCCCCTTCCAGGTATCCGGACGCTTTCACCCCCTTCCAGTCCGGACACTTTCCCCCCTTCCAGTCCGGACACTTTCACCCCCTTCCAGTCCGGACACTTTCCCCCCCTTCCAGTCCGGACACTTTCACCCCCTTCCAGTCCAGACACTTTCCCCCCCTTCCAGTCCGGACACTTTCCCCCCTTCCAGTCCGGACACTTTCCCCCCTTCCAGTCCGGACACTTTCTCCCCTTCCAGTCCGGACACTTTCCCCCCCCCCCCCTCCAGTCCGGACACTTTCCCCCCCTTCCAGTCCGGACACTTTCACCCCCTTCCTGCTCAGGCCAATTTTCAGTTTTCAGCGCTATCACACTTTGAATGACAATTGCGCGGTCATGCAACTCTGTACCCATATGAATGTTTTATCATTTGTTTTAGACAGATAAAGATTTATTTTGGTGGTATTTAGTCACTGCTGGGAGTTTTATTTTTTTTGCTATATAAATGAAAAGTCCAAAAAATGTTGAAATAAAGTGTTTTTCTTATAAAAGTTTTGCAAATAAATAATATTTCATCATAAATCTTGGCCAAAATGTGTTCAGTTATCTTTTTAGTTAAAAAAAATAACCCAAATTAGATTATAACCAAAAATTATATTTTAAAAATTTTTTTTTACATTTTTATTTTTTTTATATTATTATTTATGCTTTTTTTTTTTACATACTGTCACCCTAGCAGTAGTGTCACCATGGTGACACTGTACTACTTGTGGGGGGTGATGAAGATTTTTTTTTTTTTTTTTTTACACTGATTGCCTTCATACCCATAAAGGATGTAAAAGCAATCATTTCTCCTTCTCTCTGGCTGCATTCTTGCAGCCATTGAGAAATACTGAGTGAGCTGTGATTGGTCACAGCTTGTCACATGGTACAAGGATGTTGTGAATGGCCCTGTACCATGTGATCTCTGTGATCATTCACAGATTTCACACATAGTAAGCAATGATGTCAGAAGTGACATCTTGCTTACTACTCTGCATGTGATCACTGATTGGCCAATCAGTGATCACATGATCGGGACCTCACACAGAGGTCCTGTACGACGATCAGTTTCCACTGCGTCTGGAGGACACAGCGGGCACCGGATCGCGGTGCTGCACGCTCCCAGGGAGCGTGCACAAGCAGGGGGCGAGGAGGCCGTTTATAAACAGCCACCTGACCCTGCACTGGCACCGTCCGGCCGTTTATGTACATGGGTCTGACGGGAAGTGGTTAATCAGTGGTTTTGGCTGGAACCTGAAAACTGACAAAAACGGATGAAAAATGTATCTAAACGGATGAAAAAACACATGTAAACAGATGAGAAATGTATCTAACAGGATGAAAAAACAGATGTAAACGGATGAAAACTGACATACGGATGAAAAACGTATCTAAACGGATGAAAAACAGATGTAAATGGATGAAAACTGACAAACGGATGAAAAATGTATCTAAAAGGAAGAAAAACAGATATAAACGGATGAAAACTGAGAAACGGATGAAAAAAAATGTATCTAAAAGGAAGAAAAACAGATATAAACGATGAAAACTGAGAAACGGATGAAAAATGTATCTATAAGGATGAAAAAACAGATATAAACGGATTAAAACTGACATAAACGGATGAAAAACATATCTAAACAGATGCAAAACAGATGTAAACGTTTGAAAAAAAACCGGATGTAAACTCATTTGTATTTTCTTTGAATGAAAAAAAAAAACGACCGCCCGTGTGAAAGGACTCTTAGCCTCTTTTTTCTGCATCAGTTCAGTCGCGTTTTTTTCCAAGACAAAAACAGATCAGTTCACATACATTTTTCATCAGTTTTTCATCAGTTTACATCCGGTTTTCGTACGTTTTTACATCCGGTTTCATCTGTTTACATCCGTTTTTCATCCGTTTACATCTGGTTTTCGTCTGTTCCATTTTTTTTAATGAAAGAAGACTTATCTTTCTTCTGTAAAAAGAACGGAATTGACAAAAAACAGATGTAAATGGACAAAAAAACGGATGTAAACAGAAAACAATGGATGGAAATGGATGTTAACGGACAAAAAAAGATGCAAAAAAAAAAGATGGATGTAAACGGACAAAAAACAGATGTAAACAGACAAAAAGGATGAACATGTACAGTGGGGATCGAAAGTTTGGGCACCCCAGCTAAAAATTTGTATTAATGTGCATAAAGAAGAAGCCAAGAAAGATGGAAAAATCTCCAAAAGGCATCAAATTACAGATTAGACATTCTTATAATATGTCAACAAAAGTTAGATTTTATTTCCATCATTTACACTTTCAAAATAACAGAAAACCAAAAAAAATGGCGTCTGCAAAAGTTTGGGCCCCCTTCAGAGTTAATATCTTGTACTGCCCCCTTTGGCAAGTATCACAGCTTGTAAACACTTTTTGTAGCCAGCCAAGAGTCTTTCAGTTCTTGTTTGAGGTATCTTTGCCCATTCTTCCTTACAAAAGTCTTCCAGTTCTTTGAGATTTCTGGGCTGTCTGTCACGCACTGCTCTTTTAAGGTCTATCCATAGATTTTCAATGATGTTGAGGTCAGGAGATTGTGAAGGCCATGGCAAAACCTTCAGTTTACGCCTCTTGATGTAATCCCCCCGTGGATTTCGAGGTGTGTTTAGGATCATTATCCATTTGTAGAAGCCATCCTCTCTTTAACTTCAGCTTTTTCACAGATGGCATCAAGTTACCATCCAAAATTTGCTGAAAATTTATTGAATCCATTTTTCCTTCTACTCGTGAATGTTCCCTGTGCCACTGGCTGCAACACAACCCCAAAGCATGATTGATCCAACCCCATGCTTAACAGTTGGACAGAGGTTCTTTTCATTCAATTCTGTGCCCCTTCTTCTCCAAACGTACCTTTGCTCATTCCGGCCAAAAAGTTCAATTTTAACCTCATCGGTCCACAGAACTTGTTTCCAAAATGCATCAGGCTTGTCTATATGTTCATTTGCAAAGTTCAAACGATGATTTTTGTGGTGAGGACGTAGAAGAGGTTTTCTTCTGATGACTCTTCCATGAAGACCATATTTGTACAAGTATCTCTTTATAGTGGAATAGTGTACCACAACTCCAGTGTCTGGCAGATCTTTCTGGAGGGATCGTGCCGTCAAACGTGGGTTTTGAATTGTTTTTCTCACAATCCTGCGAGCTGTTCTGTCTGATATTTTTCTTGGTCTTCCAGATCTTGCTTTAACTTCCACTGTTCCTGATGACTGCCATTTCTTAATTACATTCCGAACAGAGGATATTGACATCTGAAAACGCTTTGCTATCTTCTTATAGCCTTCTCCAGCTTTGTGAGCAGCAACTATTTTCAGTTTCAGTTTTCTAGACAACTGCTTAGAAGAACCCATGGTGCTGATTGTTGGGGCAAGGTCAGATGAGTCTGGGCATTTAAAACCTTTGAGATTGACATCACCTGGTCTTCCCAGACGATGATTGAGAACAATCCATGACACTGGCAGGTCTCAGCTTTGCAAAGGGGGCAGTGCATGCTATAAATTCTGCAGGGTGCCCAAACTTTTGCAGACGCCATTTTTTTTTGTTTTCTGTTATTTTGAAAGTGTAAATGATGGAAATAAAATCTAACTTTTGTTGACATATTATAAGAATGTCTAATCTGTAATTTGATGCCTTTTGGAGATTTTTCCATCTTTCCTTGGCTTCTTTATGCACATTAATACAAATTTTTAGCTGGGGTGCCCAAATTTTCGATTCCCACTGTATGTAAACAGACACAAACGAATGTAAACCGAGAAAAAAAGATGAAAAAAAAATGAAATGTATGTAAACAAAAAACGGATGTAAAACCGGAGAAAAACGGATGAAAAACAAAAAAATGGATGTAAACAGATGAAAACGGATGGATTAAAAAAAGGATGTAAAGTGATGAAAAAAACAAATGAAAAATGATGTAAATGGAAAAAAACAGATAAACTAATGTAAACGGACAAAAATGGACAAAAAAAAAAACAGATGAAAATGGATGTAAACAGAAAAAAAATGATGTAAACGGACAAAAATGGACAAAAAAAAGATGAAGAATGGATGTAAACCCGAAAAAAAAGGCTGAAAACGGATATAAACGAACAAAAAAAAGATGAAAACGGATGTAAATGGACAAAAACGGATGTAAACAGACAAAAACCTGATGAAAATGGATGTAAACAGACAAATACGGATGTAACCAGAAAAAAAACAGATGTAAATGGACAAAAGACAGAAGAAAATGGATTTAAAAAACAAAAAATGGACAAAAACAGATGTAAACGGATGAAAAATTGATGTAAACAGATGTAAACTGATAAAAAACGGATGTAACCTCATGAAAAAAAGGTTGAAAAATGGATATAAACTGATGAAAAATGTATGTAAACTTTTCCTACAGCCAGTAAACTCCGTAGCATGTTATCCGTGTCCGTGCACACTTCTTCAGGAGTTTTTTTAGTTGTAAAAATGCTATAAAGCTGAAAAAAACGGAATGGACAAAAATGGATGAAAAACGGAAGCAAATGGAAAAAAATGGATGAAAATGGATGTAAATGGACAAATAACAAATGAAAACGGATGTAAACGAACAAAAATGGATGTAAACAGACAACACGGACAAAAAAACAGATGAAAATGGATGTAAACAGACAAAAACAGATGTAACCGGAAAAAAAACAGATGTAAACAGACAAAAAACGGATGAAGAATGGATGTAAACGGAAAAAAGGCTGAAAATGGGTATAAACAAAAAACAGATGTAAACGGATGTAAACAGACAAAAAAACTGCTGAAAATGGATGTAAGCAAAACAAAAGAGATCTGTCAGTTTACATCCATTTTCTGTCCATTTACATCCATTTTTTCGTCTGTTTACATCCGTTTCTGGTCCGTCTACATTCATTTTCTGTCCATTTACATCCGTTTTTTTCCTCTGTTTTAATCAGTTTTATCTCTGTTTACATCAGTTTTTGTCTGTTTACATCCATTTTTTGGTCCTTTTTTTTATGATTACATCTATTTTTTCGTCTGTTTTTGTATGTGTACATATATTTTTTTCATCTGTTTTCTGTCTGTTTACATCTGTTTCTCGTCCATTTACATCCATTTTCTGTCTGTTTACATCCGGTTTTCATCTGTTTACATCTGTTTTTCATCTGTTTAAATGTTTTGTGTCCGTTTACATCCATTTTTCTTCTGTTTACATCTGTTTCTATCTGTTTACATCCGTTTCTGTCAGTTTACATCCATTTTCTGTGTGTTTACATCCATTTTTCATCTGT